TGATAGTGTCTCTATCAACATTGGGTGTTTTGGCTGCGTGGCATTATCACTGTCCTTGGGTGATTCGTCAGCCACAAGTCCATCTAAATAAATGATCTAGATTCCAGTCGATCTAAATAAATGAAATCTTCTCAAATAGAGCTATTTAAATTATATGGTGAAGTTAGATATCGTGGCAAAACAAAAGATATCGAAATGTAGGCTAAAGTTGGCAATGTTGCAATATTCCAATGTTGGCTATCGAAATTTTGCAGCCCAAAAACAAGCACTACCCATGTCATATTAGTAGTTTCTATCAGTTATTATCTAATCATTATGCTAAAAAGATGTTAGTCTTAATTTACCTAATGATGGCATTAATGTAGAACATTTTTAAATGATGGAAACTATTGATATATGATTAGTTGGTACATTGTGGTCATATTAGTTTCAACTAATTCTTGGCCAGACTAACAAAATTCAGAAATATATATAATATAATACAATATAATATAATATAATATAATATAATATAATATAATATAATGTAATGTAATGTAATGTAATATAACATAATATAATATAATATAAAATAATATAATATAATATAATATAATGTAATGTAATGTAATATGTAATATAACATAATATAATATAATATAATTGCATTTAGACTACACTTTAGATTATATTGTTTTAATTCAATTATGATGCAATAAGTTTTTCAAATGTGAAAGTAAAGATGATTACAATGTTGAAAAATGTTTTGTGTAAAAACAGAAGTGTTGTTCATCGAACTATCTATTCATCAAAGAATCATGATGTGATTGATGTGATGTGAAAAAAATGTTTTTTTTATGTAAAAAATATAGCAGCATGTTTTCACATTTATAACAAACAAAACAATCATTTAAAAATAATAGAAAATAAATAAATGTTTTTGGCCAGCAAATCAATATTTTTAAATATATTTAAACAGATAAAAATTAGGCGTGTGACGAGATGCTTACTACACTTGTAACTTGTTATGAATGCTATTTTACCTCTATTTTAATTAATTCTATGCAGTAAATGGCATGCTAAAGTCACAACTCACAAGACAAATTTTAACTTCGACAAGAAATCCCGTCATTATTTAATCTTATGAGATCTTGTAACACGAGATCTCATCACACCCCTAACCAAAATGCATTTTTTGTATATTAACTACAGTTTCTTTTCTTTATATTGCAGTATTGCACTGTTTTTGATTTAATATTTAAAAAATAATAATTTAATAGTAGTATGAATCAGCCGTTGACCATTATGATGTTTCAGCCAACAAAAAAAAAAACATTCACTAGTAGAAATGACATTAGATTATCAGACCCCATGTGACCTTTGCACTTGTATTTCAATCAATACTGACAGTCTGTTTCTACAGTCTCAGCAGCAGTGTTGTTGTTTCTTGTGCTGAAGTCCACCTGGATGATTATTTTTTTTCCTACACAGATATATAGGGCCTGCGTAATTTTCTCCATCTTTCATGAGAGCCACTGGCTTTGTGTCTAATGAAAAAGTGCTTACTCAAAGAAACATTATGACCTCGTAAATCTAAACAGGAACCATTGGGCAATGCCACGTTTCTGTTTTCGTCTGGAAGGATGTTCAGTTCTGCATAGCTGTCAGCATAATGAGACTTTCCCTTTTTTTTTCTTCTTTTTTTTTTAGTGACACTGTTCTTAGTAACATAAAACCACGCTTGGCACTACAGAGAAACCTGACATCAAGTAGACCAAATCTTTCAGTATTTCACTCTCTGGGATTGTAAGGCCTCATTTAGAAGGAAATTCCTGTCTGCTATACAAATTCTGTCAGTCTGGCCCACTTAGAAAAAAATAGGCTAGCCCTTGTTAGTAGCCATCTGGGGTCATGAAACGCTTCAGATAATTGGGATCCTGAGTTGGATGGTTTAGATATAATCTTAGCTGCGATTTTTGGTTCAGTTATTCCGACTGTCTAAAAAAAAAAAAAATCACCATTGACTGTGACTGTAATTACAGAGTGCTCTCTCGCAATGATGGCGCTCGGCGGTCTGATCAAACTGTCAGTTTTAATTACTCTGGAGTGCCCTCAGCCTGCCAAGAGCTGGGTTTGCATAGTTTTCAAAGCATGCTGGGAAGTGTGTACTTCCTAAAGCCCTCCTGTGGAGTGGGGTGAATGAAATACTCTAATTTGTGTTCGAGATGAAGGCAGCTGTAGTACAGATGAAATATAGGCGAGACGGTTGGTAAATGAAAAATTTAAGGGTTCTCATACTGCGATAAACTTCCTTACGTGGCTCAGTATTTCCTATCCAAACCACAACAAGTCTGAGTCTGAATGTAAAGACGAGATACGTTGTGATGAATGTGTTTGGAGCCTACACAAGAGACTGTGGGTGACTGGATTCAATGGGAGATTTATCATATCTGCAGTAAGCACTTTTTTAGACAAACTGTTGACTTCGGTTCAAATGACAGAAAGGCTTACTTATACGTTACTTACACTTTTTGTTGTGTACGACAGTGGGATTATATATTTCAAAGAGATATTTTCAAACTGTATGTTAAATCTTTAGATAAAAAGGTGTCTTTGCATGTTTAACATATCAGATGGTAGTTTATTTAACCCTTGTGCATTGTTCAAATTGACTACCTTTTCGTTATGTTTTTGATTGTTTTTACATTATTGACTTCCATTATAACAACAATTTTTGACCACAAAGCATGCCACTATATAATTAGGCTTTCTTGATTGTTGGTGGTTTTTGCCATTTTTGCTGTTGATCATCAGTTGGCACAATTATTCCTTTAGATAGGACTGTGCAAAAGAAGTTTCTGGCTTTTATGTGGAGTTCTATGGAGTATAATAGCAAATTATAGTTTGTGTTAGAGCTGCTAGATTATGGAAAAATTCATAATTACGATTATTTTAGTCATAGTAATCACGATTATTCAAAACGATATACAGTTGAAGTCAAAATGATTTGCCCTCCTTTGATTTTTATTTGTTTATTTTTTTATATATATATATATTTTTTAATAAATATTTCCTAAATGATGTTTAACAGAGCAAGGAATTTTTTTTCGCAGTAATTCTTATAATATTTTTTTTCTTCTGTAGAAAGGCCATTTGTGTTATTTTGACTAGAATAAAAGCAGTTTTAAATATTTCAAAAATATTTCTATATTAATATTATTAGCCCCCTTAAGCAATATTTTTTTTTGGATTTTCTACTGAGGAAACTACTGTTATAAAATGACTTGCCCAGTTACCCCAATTAAGCCTTTAAATGTCACTTTAAGCTAAATACTAGGAAAATATCTAATAAAATATTATGTTCTGTCATCATAGCAAAGATAAAAGTAATCAGTTATTAGAAATGAGTTATTAAATCTATTATGTTTAGAAATGTGCTAAATAAATATAAAAAATAAAAAAAAATATAAAGGGCTGCTAATAATTCTGACTTCAACTGTATATATATATATATATATATATATATATATATATATATATATATATATATATATATATATATATATATATATATATATATATATATATAGAATATATTTAATTTATATATTTAATATATATATATATACACACACACACTTATTTTCCTCCCTGTAAATAAGGAAAGGGAAATAAATACAATAGAATAAAAATATGAAACAAACTTTAAAAAAAAATAATTATAGGTACAAAAGTCCTATAGTCTAGAGCAGTGAGTGATTTTTTCCTTTTGTTTTTTGATTAATAATGATAAAAACAATGGTAAAATCTGAAATATTAATGAAATTAATTAAATAAATATGATTTTTTTTCTTTTTTAAATATTTCCCTAATGATGTTTAACAGAGCAAGGACATTTTCACAGTATGTCTTTTGTTCTGGAGAAAGTCTTATTTGTTTTATTTCAGCTAAAATAAATGCAGCTTTCATTTTTTTAAAAAAGAAGAAAAGTAATTTGCTTCCCATGTTATTATAATAATTATAATACTTTTATAACAGTACAAATAATGTCCTTTCCATGTTAATAATAATAATAATACTTATATGTTTTGTGGCAAGTATAATTACTACTATTAAAATAGTAATTATTAATTATAATTAATACTACTATTAATAGTGAACATTGCTTAAGCTTGCCATAAAAATTGGGGAAAAAAATAAACCGGGGGGCCTAATAATTCAGGGGGTTTAATAATTCTGACTCTGATTTCTTACAGTGTTAATCAAACTATTTATAATTTAATCAAACTATTTTATAATGAACAATTTTTGAATTGTTCAGAGCTGTATCTGCGTAATTAAGCCTACTACGCTACTGTATTTCAATACCGGTCATTATGATGGTACTTGGAGAGACTATTTGTTTTCTGAGGTGGTTCTTCATTTGTACAAGAAAGTTTGAGAACCACCAATCTAAATGGTTAAATACTTTCTAGTAGAGCTGAACAATATATTTTTTGAACATCAATATCGCAACGTGTGTATCCACAATAGTCAATAGGATTAGATCATTTATTAAAGAGTAAAAGATAAGGGATATTATTAAATAAATATTAATATTTTTAATTATTTATACAACAATGACCATGGTATTTTACATTTGATGTTTTAATTTCTCTACTTGAATACTTTTAGGCTCCCTAGAAAACTGTAAAGCCATTTTTGCTTAAAATTTATTAAAATTTATGCAGATACACTGCATATAAAAGACTTGATCATCCTAGTCGATCTACACGAATGAAATCTTTACAAATAGAGCTATTAAAATCATCTGGTGAAATAATATTCATATCACAATATATATCGCAGCAAAACAAAATATCAAAATGTCAGATTTTTCCGATATTGTGCTGTCCTACTTCCTAGCATGTACATTAAACGGTTTATTCCTGTTGGTGCTCTACATCAGTTTTTTTGTGATAATATATTTTCCTTAACTTTAAAATCCTTAACTTTAATATTTTCCTTTCTTCTATCTGTAGCGTTGTCCTCGCTGCGGTCCCTCGTGTGGTGTCACTGGGCCATGGTTCGCAAGAAAGGATCTCTTATTTTGTGCGGAGCTTTTTTGTTTGTCGCCTGGAACGCCTTGCTCCTCCTCTTCTTATGGGGGAGGCCTCCCATTGGTCGACTTGGGGAGGGAGGTGGAGCCGAACCAGGGGCCGGAGAAGAGTGGGGAGCAGGAAAGTCAAAAGTGGGTGGAGCTAACGGATTGGCCGGTGAAGTGATCAGATTGGCTGAAGAAGTAGAATCGGAACTGGAGACTCAAAAGAAGCTCCTCAAACAAATTCAAAGCCACAGAGAACTATGGGAACAGCGGAAGGAACTGGAAAAGAGAGAATCGGAGGACACGAAGGATGAAAAGATCGACGTAGAGCCTAAAAAGCCTAGGCAGATTCCTGCAGTACATCTAAGTCATAAAGTGGTAGAATATGCACAAACTGTTACGAAAAAAACGCAGACTTTAATGGTCACGCCGCCTCAGCTGGTCATGAAGGAGCAGGAAACAGACCAAAAGAACAAGCAAATGATGGAAGATCAACTAGGCCTTACTACACCAAGCCCTCAAATCATTATCCCAATTCTGGTCATTGCCTGTGATAGAGTAACTGTGAAGAGGAGTTTAGATAGGTTGATACAGTATCGTCCTTCTGCTGAACTTTACCCAATTATTGTCAGTCAGGACTGTGGTCACGCTGATACGGCCAGGGTGATTGGCTCCTATGGCAGTCAAATAACCCACATTAGCCAACCGGATCTTGCGGACATTCCAGTAAGACCCGATCACAGGAAGTTCCAGGGTTACTACAAGATCGCCAGGCACTACCGTTGGGCCCTGAACCAAGTGTTCAATGTCTTTGCCTACTCCACAGTGGTTATTGTGGAGGATGACCTGGAGGTAAGATGAATATGTTTTCATGTAAGATGAGATCTAAATTTGAGCAACATTAGCCACCTTATTTTTAAACATGGAAGTCAAGTGTTTTATGCAAATGTGCAAGACGTCCGTCCAAATTAGGGGAATATTAAGAATATAATAACAGTGCAGTAAGCAGAAAAACTATTGAAACTACAAAACAGTGTTTGTGGCTATCCTATCATCTCCCACTATTTGTTTGTGGTAAAAAAACTCCCTTTTTGTGAGACTAAAATGAGTGAAACTAGATGCCTATTCCAGAAATCACAGATTTTCACCATAAGATTGTCTTGCTATGTCTGAAAGGGTCATCACTTTAGCCAAGCTGCTTTCGGAGGGTTTCAGCCACTTCAGAGATCTTGGTTAGTCAAGATTAATTAATTCAATTAATTAACATTAATTCAAAATATGCCTTTGCAATTTTGCAAAAAGACCTATGTAATGCAAAAAAAGTTTTTATGTTCACATGAGATGCAGACAGAGTATGAATGCACAGTGCTAAATTTCACATTTAACACAAGTTAGCAATACAACAAGATATGGCAGGACAATATTGATTTTTTTTGAAAAATTTTTTTGCAGTATATATGTGTGTGTGTGTGTGTGTTTATATATATATATATATATATATATATATATATATATATATATATATATATATATATATATATATATGTATGTGTGTGTGTGTGTGTGTGAGATCGGGGCTTGACAATAGCGCTGTTCACACAGGCGAGGACGTGACGGAAATTTTCCGGAAAAGAGCATTCACACATCCATTCCAAAATACCGGTAAATTCTGACATTATTCACCACAAATGAGCTTTAAACGGCTGCGCTTGTATTTGTAAACATTTGACTAAATTACAAACTCTGTGGATGATCAATATTGTGAACAACTTTCGCAGGATCACTTTCACATGTCGAGATGTTCATAATATGTGCGTGTGCAGGCGCTCACAGGCTGTTTCACAGGCACACGCAAAGCTTGAAGGTAAACAAACAACGGCTTATCATAAGCATCTCATCGATGATTATTTACACAGTTGGCATTAAGAAGAACATATAAATGTGATCTGACTAACTTCTTGCAGCTAAATGTGTCTGGAAAAATATTCAAAGGCTTTTATTCTCATAAACCGCGCGGACGTAAATGCGTCTGACTGTTGTGATTGGCTAAAACAGACGTCTCACGTCAGCACGTTCTAGACGTGCACGCCCTTATTCCGGCAATTTTCCTTTTGCATTCACACAGCGCAGCATTCCGGCAAATTGCCGGTAATCTTACAACTTTTCTTTCCGGAAAATAGCTAGAACGAATTTACCGGTATTTTCAAAAAGGACCTGTTCACACATACAACAAAAAGGTCTGTATGTGTGAAAGGGGCTATTAACACCCGCCAAATGTGTGTGGATTTTAGTTGTGGCGGGTTAGACAGTCACACCTACTAGCCACTTTGGCTAGTTGAAAATAATTTTTATATTGCCAGTGCTGGGTAGTCACTAAAGTTTAGAATTATATTTTATATTTGTTTGTCAATATGCATACAAATGTGATCTTAGAATCAAGAAGCAGCATGACTAACTGTTAAAATAACTGCTCGCATGAGCAAAAGAAAGCAGGTAAATACCGAATGAGAGCATGGTTACCTGCATGGTTACCTTACACGAAGCAATGCTCTTGCAACCATTATCCCGCTGCTTTCAAGACCTCAAGATGTTTTGTAAGCAGCAACGGTTGCCGCTTTCACTTTAACCATTCTTTGAACAGATTATTAAAAGGCCTAACGTTAACTGGGATCATGCCTGTGATAATCCTTTCATTATCGGACACAGTATGTTTTTTTTACCTGCTTTCTTGCTTTCATTTATTTTTAATATGGTTAAATTATCATCCTTTACTAAAACATTGCTTTAAAAGAAGATTAACTCTCCATTTAGTTAACCGGTGATCTGGGACCTTTAGCCTGGACGGTAGTCTTTGATGCATGACAATCATTTTTTTTTTTTTAAATAATTTTTTGTTGAATAAAAAGTGTATGTATGCAGCTATACTTTGCTTGCTTTGACACATTTCTGGCAAGAAAATAATCAGTCTGGTATGGCTAGATGGAAATTTGGTAAATCCTTAGTGTTAAGAGCTAAAAAGTCATGTGAAATAAAACTAATTGCAATGCAACAATAGTATACCACAATCCATTTTCTCATGCTCATTGAGCAAGCTCATACACAACACACAAAAAAAAGTGAAATAAAAGAGGAGGCACGAGGACATAACACGAAATGTAAATCAAGTAATTTTAGCATGCCAAAGTCAAGTTTATGCATATAAAACATATTTCCAAACAACAAAACTGGCTAGTGAAAATGCCAAGTGGCTAGTAACATTGGAAAACTACTAGCCACAGTTGACTTGTGATCAAAAAAGCTAAGGTCAAGCCCTAAATGTGATGCGGATTTAATTTCACAAGATAAATTTAACTCTGTTTGAAAAGATTTGATTGGGATTATTTTGTAGGGGAGTACATGAGCATAAAATAAAATAAACAAATTAAAAGCATGGATTAATAAAATACAATACAACAAAGATAAAAGTAAAATAACCAGTGTTATGGAATAACCAGCAATTGAATAATCAAATATATATAAAGTAACACTGCATTGTCTTTATTGTATTTAAAATTATAGACCATTATTCTATGTTTAAACTACAAACGTTATAATTCCTTGGTTTAAATTCGCTTGCAATCTTACATAGTCATGGGTCTTAAAACCCCATCCAAATAAAAATATTTTATGAAAATCTTATTAATCTTATTATTAAAATATTATAGTTAAAGTTTGCGATAATTTACAAAACATATCTTCTGAACTATGGTGTCTGGTTAATAAAATCCCAACTCAACATTGAAAACAATATATACAAATGTGTTTCAGGCAGTAGAAGTCGAGTGGCACATTTACCGATACACACTGTAACGTACTATTAATTCAAAACTACAAAATGTGTTTCATTTGTATTTATTCTCAATAAAAACAAAATGCTATGCCTTCGTAAAATATAGAAAACAAGCATGAAATTCAATGAAATTCCACATTTAGCCTACTTGTTTTTATTCCAGTTCCCAGATGAGCCTTTGTTATTTAGCGGTTGTTATCTTGGGGTAACATACCTTCGAATGTTTTGATTGACCAATCAGAACAGTCATTTCTGTTGAGCACATATTGTAACAACACTATGTGTAACTCATAAAGGACGCTTCAAAATCTGCTTGTTTACTACTGTTAGCATAATAGGGCTAAGCGCTAACCTTGAAATTTAAGTAATGTTTTGATGTCCACTGGGTAAAGATCTTATCGGCCAAAATGTACTTATTACATCCACGCTGAATACCAGTTGGCAATATGAAGTAGCAAAACTAACCGTAATATATGGAAGCGAATGAAGCAACATATTACATTTACAGCTGGCCATGCATGCATTTACATGAAACATAAGGTGGATAGGTTAATTAGGACTGCATAGTGAGAGCCCCAATTTCCAGAAAGGAAGCCACGTTTTTAGCTCTTTTATAATTCATGGAGAAGAATTTTGATAAGAGCTCGCCTCTCGCTCAGAGGGAATATTTTCATTTGCACATTTCTCAATCCTTTCCTTTGAAATTCTCGCAGGTGAACTGATTACAAAGTATAATATGCACCCAAAAAGCCCATTAATAGGACAGCCGTAAAGTTTCTTTCCAGTTGTTGCGAGTTCTCTAAGGGATCAAGGTCCTTGTTTAACTTTGCGATCCAGACAAACATTTTTTTTTTGCTTACTCTTTAGTGATGGCTTTGATGGCTGTCGTGGCGGTGCTTTTAAAAGGTGCCGTAGCAAACTTCTTATTCAAGGAGAAACGAGTTACCTTCACATGTCTGAGTCAGTGAAAAATAAGAGTGACCATAAATAAGACATGGAGAAATCTCTCCAAAAAAAAATCTAGTACAGTTTACTCTTTTGTTTTTGTTTTGAATTTCAAAGGAGTTTGTACATTTATCACAATTTATTTTAGATGAATATTTAAACAAGAAAAGATGAATAAAGAGAAAAATATTACAACTCTTTTGACATGTTCAATACTTGTGATTGTTCTTGAATTTTAATGGCATGCAAAAGTATTCCCCAAAACTAAACTTAAAATGTATTAAACAGTGACTTTCTGAGTGCTTCTATATATAAATTCAGTTTCCTTCCACAGAGTTAACTGCGTTATTCTTGAAGCGGTTGCGAAATCATGCCTGTGACAGGATGTCATTTCATTGTATGTGACATAATGACCAGAAAGTCAGAACCTGAGATTTTAGAATTACATGTTTTTTAAGGACAAAAACCAATTGTACGCTAATGCTGTGAACTGTAGGATTCCTCTATATAACAAGCATGATATAACTGTAATTCTATGTAATGATGTTTACAGGCTGTCTTATTGGCATCTTTCTGCAGCTAAAACTGAAAAAACAAAAAAAACAAAACAAAAAAAAAAAGCTTTTTTGTTATTTTATGTTCATTTTGTGCTATAAATAGTAGTAAATGAAGGAATAGTCATATGCAGTCATTCTTTATTTTCACGCCACATCATTATTGATTTAATTTCCTGACAAAAAGGAAAAGATGGGACTTTTTTTAAAGGAACAAAAATACAAACTATTCATGGGGCATTAACTGAAACAGCACAGAGTAAAAGACAGATCTATGAATCGACACTGATTGGTTGAAGATGTATAAAACTAGAGGTTTCAACCCGCAGATACATTTTGAAATATTAAAATAAGGGCTGAGTGATAAAAACGGTATTGATATTTATTGACTGAATGTCAAAAACGCTAAAAAAAGTTTTATATGGCGTACTATAGTTTTATTAAAATTAGGCTGCTGAGTGCGTTCCTTGGAAGCAAGCTTATAACAGTTTTGGATTTTTCATTGGTTTTAGTTTCTATTTCGTTTTGACTTGTTTTCAAATATAGTTAGTTTTATTTTGTTTTAGAGGCAGATTTCCTAGTTTTTATTAGTTTCTATATTTAAAAATGTCTTCGTTTTAGTTTAGTTTTTATTAGTTTCAGTATTAGTTTCAGTTTTTTTCTAAATAAGGACATTTGTTAGGTACAAGATTCAAAATCAACAGGATAAATATTGTATAATAAAAACTCAGTCATACATTTTTTTAAACATGTATTCAGAGGACACACGAACACCACAAGCATCTAATCATCCTCAAATTCAAATACAGCAGCCCACAAGATAGCAGCCCTAAGTACAATATGTGTACAAGGCTGCTTGTGAGGTTAGACCAAGCGGCAACCTCCCGCTCTCTCTCAGGAAGCCAATACGGAAGTAACTAAAACTGCTATTCATCCGAAATTCCGCTAGTCTTGGCCGCTCCTGGCTCCAAAACAGAGCAAATTTCAATTGAGCCCACTGTTAGAATGGCCAACTTTACAGCAGAAAAAAGGTGTTTACAGCCTGGTACAAAAAAAGATTTTGGTTAATACAGCTAATATTACCCTTCATGACAACTGTGAGGGGGGTGAATTATTTTTTTATAACTCATCCGTTTCCTTTATATTAAGTTATATTAATTCTGCATAATTAAGGGCGTGGCCACTTGAGTGACAGCTAGGTCTCGTTGGTCGCCGTCACGTCACCTCAGCTGAATCCTGCAGATTAGCCACTGAACTCGGCATATTTATCGTATTTCTGTGTTGTTTTATGTGGCTTTACACAGTTAACTGCCTTTTGGACTTGTTTCCTACAATTATCAGATGGCTTAGCATGCTGAGTGCACTTAATTGTGCTCACAAACCATTCACGTGGCCTCCGTTTCCCATGTGAGTAAAGTTATATACTTATATACCATCTCTATACGTGTATTTGTTTTATTTAAGATCATTTATCGTTTTTATTTATATTTAGAGCTGTAATGCACTCCAGAATCTGACAGATTGATTAGCTGTAGGCTCTAGAACAGTCGTCTGAAGCGTTGTCATACAGTGTTATGCTGGAGTTCATCAATAGTCTTACATTAACTAACACAGACTATATCTGAAGTGTTTGGAAGTAATTCGCGTTTTCCTCCTGTTGAAAAACGTCATAAGAACAATGTTTAGTGGCTCAATGTGTTACAGCAGTGTTTTTAAAAGTCTAAACACTTTATTGATATGGTATACAACCAAGCACAAGTGGTCAGAACACAAACGAGTCGCAGGTGATAAAGTATCAAGCGTTCTCCCAAAGTAAAGTGTGTCTGAATCAGGTCCAAGCAAACTGTCTGCAGGTGTCTGTAGCTCCGCTCACTCTCCGCCTCTTTGCCCCTGTTTGGTATCCTGCCGTGGGTGTGATGACGTGCAAACAAAATGGCGACGGTTGGCCGCGCCTACTTGTGGCTTCTTTTGCGCTCTTTAGAAACCTATGGGTGACGTCACGGATACTACGTCCATATATTTTACAGTCTATGGGTTAGACACACAGTAGTGATGGGCAGGGCCGGATTGACCAATGGGCATTATGGGCATAGGCCCAGTGGCCCATCCGCACAGATTTTGCCTACTCTTCATCTCACGGAAGACAAGTAGGAATCATTAATAAGTGTGTGTAAGGACTCAGATTCCTAGAACTGGATTGGAGAGTTGTTATCCAAATCATGTGCATTATAAGTTTGTAGAAATTATACATTAAAAATACCCTTAAAATAAATTTTAGTACTGCTTTAGTGAACTTGAACACGTATATTAAAATCCATTAATTTCCCCTACTTGTATTAGTATTTTTTTTTCAAAGTGTGCTTTAAATGCTTTAAAAATAAGTTAAATCTTTGTAGACTAGAAATATGTGTCCTTTATATCATTTATTTAAAAAATGTGGGTAGTACATTATAGATTAATTTTATTTAAGAAATATTATATTAATCTTATTTTTTTAATTCAACTATGGGGTGCAGCTATAGGGGGCCTGCAAGACATTGTGCCCAGTGGCCTCTGAATTATTAATCCGGGCCTGGTTATGGGAAATTCAGATTTCTAACGCGGATGTTAGGACTCAACATAATGTAGTCTGCTAGTAAGTTATAGTAATTTCAGTCAGTTAAAACATCACCATGATCTGGAAAATGTCTCATAGTAAAGTTTTACTAACTGTAAACCCAACTGAATCATGCTTCACTTATTTAAATTCCATTACGATTGTGTTATGAAATAAACTTATGTTTTTCACCAGATCCTCTAATTTAAGCCCTCGTTGTTTAAGCCCAAACACAGCATACCCAATCACTGCAGTGCTTTTTACTTTTTTCCATAAACTTTTGTCAAAACTGCAGCAATGGTCTATCCGTTTGTCATCTTCTGAGAAAACGGTTGATGGTTGCCTAGTTGCAGAAAGTCGGCAGGGGAGCATCATTGCCACTTCCTGTCATAAAAACAACACACGTGAAAATGAGTGCCATATAGCAGCAGTGAGGAGATGCTAAATAAAAAAGGATGTAAGAATGCCGCCAGAGTGGCTTTTTGGTTTTCTTGTGCATCTCAGCCACTAGCTCCCCATCTAAAAGGGTTTTTTTAACATATGGAGTAATGTAATCATCCAACATCACAATTTGTAAGGTTGCAGTATGTATTTGAATAATGATGGTCGGTTCCTTTACTTGTAAGCTCAGATTTGATTATCATAATTGGTTTGTTTACAGAGTTTGAAGTTTACTGTATCTTTATTATTCGCACCTTAAAGTTTGCTTTGATTGTTCAGCAATTATACTCTTCAATTAAGAGTCTCTTTAACACTTATGTTCATGTTAATATAAAGAGATGAGATATTTGAGTTTTTGACTGTTAAAATAAAGTGGTAAATAAAAAATCCTAATATTCCTAAATTGATTGTTAAAAAAATCTTCAATAATTATAGATAACGAATGATATGAAACATGATATCAGGATAATTGTTTTTGCTGTATCGCCCAGCCCTAATTAAAATAAAAACAATATGTGTGTGACTTTACAAATTATGACTAGATTGTTTGAAAATCAACCAGTAGTTTCTCAGGAGGTGCTTGGGAATGTACTGACTGTTACAATTTAAACAGTTGAGTCTAATTTAACTGGACAAGTGACAGCTCTTAGGTTTGAGTGTGTTACTCTAGTACTGATTTTCTTCCACAGATTAGCACATTTAACTGGTCAGGGGATTAGCTGTGATGGTACCATTGGTTAAGCTCTACTGAGCATCACAGCTAAGCACCATTAAGATTCCCCAAGGCTTAAACATGCTTTTTTTTGTTGGTACATTGTTACAAAACAGCCAGCTGGCTGAACAAATGTTCACCTTACTGAAAACATCTAGACTGCCAAGACCTTGACTAATCCAGCCATTTCTGTCTTCATCACCATTTCCTAAAACTGCTTTCATTTTATGTTATAGGTTGCCCCTGACTTTTTTGAGTATTTCCGTGCGCTGTACCCCATCTTGCGATCGGACCCAACTCTGTGGTGCATATCCGCTTGGAACGATAATGGACGGGACGGTCTGGTTGACCCAGGCAAGGCTGAACTCCTTTACCGGACAGATTTCTTTCCCGGTCTTGGATGGATGCTTTTGAAGGAAGTCTGGGCAGAGTTGGAGCCCAAGTGGCCCAAGGCGTTCTGGGATGACTGGATGCGACACCCAGAGCAGCGGAAAAACCGCTCATGCATTCGCCCTGAGATCTCCAGGACTATAACCTTCGGCCGGAAAGGCGTCAGTTTGGGTCAGTTTTTTGACCAGTATCTGCGCTACATCAAACTCAATACTGAATTTGTGCCTTTCACGAAACATGACTTGTCCTACTTGGTCAGGGAGAAGTACGACGTATCCTTTGAAAAAGACGTTTATAGCGCCCCCTTGGTGAAGGTGGAGGAACTACAGCACGGTGGAAGCTTGAAAGGCTCGGGACCGTTTCGAGTTCAATATTCCAGCAGAGACAGTTTTAAAGTGCTGGCCCGCAATTTAGGAGTTATGGATGACTTGAAGTCAGGGGTTCCCCGTGCTGGATACAGGGGCGTAGTCAGCTTTATTTCTCGTGGACGACGAATTTATCTGGCTCCCCCTGAGGGCTGGACTAAATATGACGTTAGCTGGAGCTGAGGAGATCACAAAAGACCCGAAGGAGAAAACGTACAACTATTATTACAAGTAACGAAGGAGAGAGACGCCCTCTCAAACCAAAGAAAACAAGAGACAGGGTGTGAAAGGGAGTATGAAATAACAGCTGTTTTGTGAAGGAGGAACACCCAGGCATTCTGGGAACTGCACAAAAGGAAGTGCGTCGTATTTTGCGCAGCAATCATGCAACAATCTTCCCTCAGTGAAAGTGGTAGTTAAGCTGCAAACAACTCCTATGCAGAATCACATATTCTGATATGGAGATGAATAATCAGATTCCTCTTATTATTATTATTATTATTTGAGCTTACTGAGCGTTGTGCGGGATCAACATCAATGCAAAAGACATTTTATTTAATCCTGGAGGAATCTCACGAAAAGATGTTTTAAAGACAGAAAATGTAAAAAATATGTAAGAGAAATGGGGACCATATGCTGCAGAATTTCAAATCAAGCTTGATTTTTGGGACTATTTTTAATGATATTATTTTAATATGCGCAATTTTACTCGATTTTGAATTCATTTTTGTTTCTGTTTTGTTTGTTTATGCCCTATTACAGCGTCCTTCTTACAGTGTAACTATACACTTAAATACTGAGTAATATTAATTAACTACATGTACTTAATGGTTAGGGTTTGATTAAGGGTTGGGTTGAAGGATAGTTGTATGTAATTACTCGGGGTGTAACGGATCACGGTTGATCACAACCAACAGTTCGGAACGCACATGACCCGCGGATTAATAACTTTTAAAACTTGTAGGTTAATCCAACATTTATAACGATTGCAGAAAGATCTCTCGTGTCAATCAAATCATGTGTATGAAAGCATTTTGGCTTCCCTGTAAAACATAATGATGACGGAAAAAGTTGTGGTGGGACCTTAATGCTTACTTACAGTAGGTTATTAATTAAAGGGGTTTTCTGTCACTGCTTGTGTAGCCTGCATTAATGCATTCAGTAAAAAGCTGAACGATTAAACATTAAAAGATCATGATCTCAATTCAAACCCACATTTAAATCTGCGTTTGATCAAGAGAGATTCAAGGCTCGTACACACCGAGATGCTTTTTGTTTTTGTTTATTATTAGCATTTTGGGGCTGTTTTTCCGCATTCAAACCCAAGCAATTTTTCACTGGTGTCGAGCAGAAGAGTATGCAAAATCACTTCTTGACGTTAGGTGGCGCTACACAACTTTTAACTTCTGATACCTGCTTGTAACATCGAAGAATAAGACAGAAAGTTAACATGCTTGTTGTTAAAGTTACTGGTGATTCGAACAAGCATGGATGGTTCTAGCAGCTCCAGCTCTAGCGATGAAGAAATGATTATTGTTCACCAGTGCAATAAGCAGCTGAAAACTGAATACGTGAGCAGAATGCGTCCCGGTGTGAATAGGCCTCAAGTTTTTACACTTTTTTAGTTAGTTACAAACAGTTAAATAACCCAGAAGCACTGGGAGAACAGTTTATAGATCAGATGCAAACACTGATGTTTATGGTAAAGTTTAAATCACAGTTTTATGGAACTTGACGCTGGTGAATGTTGTACATTACATTTTGTTACCAATGGGTGGCGACAAACAACCTAAAATTATGACACTGAATAGAGGAATTACCAACCTACGTCACACAGGTTCCCTTTTGCAAAAAAAGACCGGTTGCAGTAGCAAAACATTCAGCAAAAACATTTACATATGGTGAATTTAACTGCAGACACTGAATGCTTAGAATGAAATGTAAAGATATAAGTTCACATATCCTTCGCTGTCAGAATGCAGTAGTTTTGCTTGTTGATGATTACCCAGGCCTTGTATAGCTCCGCCTTTTTTCCTGGTCTTTGGCTTGGCAGAACCTCGGTTTATTGAACATTATTTCTTACACATGACAACACAGAACAAAACTGTTGGCATCCAAAGACTTGTAGGCCTTCAACTTCTCTTGTAAAATCACTTGGCGTTTCAATAAGATAGTTATATATTTTGGGCTGGATGCTTGGCCGTTTTGTCTTATCCAATATCCATTGGGAGGGTGCTATCGCAAATGGACCTGTCAGACGAACGCCGCTCACTTTAACTTTAATTTTGCCAAATCACTGTGCATACCACTGGGTGACGAGCTGTTATAATACACTGAAAGCATTATGTAAATAATATACATATAATAGGTAATCAATATAACATTTCTGAGACAACAACAAACTCTGTACCGCATCGGATGTCATTCCTTCGCTGCAAATGCTAGCGCTCCTGTTTTTTTTTTCTGCAACCTCACTGCGCACCCATCCAGAATGTTTACAAACCAGTAATTCATCTATAGGTTTGTGATGTGTGATCCGTTACACCACTAATTATTACTCATAATTTATTGTTTTTACCATAGTAAGTACGTAAAACGTATAAGAAGGACACCGTAAAATATTGTTTTTCTCAGTGGTTATAACTGGAATTATTGTTTATTATCACCATGATATATACAAAATAATAATAATACTATATTATTAAGTTTCATGAGATTCAGCCTTTAAAGAGTGTTAAAGGCCCTACTGAAGCCCTTTTTGCAGGTTTTATTAGTTCCTGACATCATTATAAATGAAGATTGTGTATAATTGGTGTCTGATTTGATCAACGCACCCATGAAAGCGCAGACTTGTTTGTTTGACTTTTTTTATGTAGCACTTGAATCAATGAAGTTCAAGCTTGTGCCAGAAATGATCCGAGGCTCATGTAACTGACATACCAAAACTCTGGACGACATTTCTTCTGTGCCATTCTGTTGAAGTACTGTACTTGAACCTTTTATTTGAACTGCTCTTCCTGGCCCGGGAGAGATGTCATTTGCTTTTTGTATAGGTTTGTTGCAAAACCAGAGGTCATAGAAATTGCTTTTAATGTTTTTACGGATGAAATGAATGGATTGCAGTGGGCCAGAGATGAAGTATACTGTATCTGAAGTGTTCGAGAAAGAGAGATGATCTGATATTAATGCAAATGCAGTATGAAGAAGTGTGAAACCACTGCCTGACATGTTTATAACTTTAATACTTTGAGAATAAAACAGACTATTTTGATATTTGACAATATATGCTACTTTTTCCTGTCTTTTTTTAGGTTTGTAAATGTGTCCTTTTTATGTCACGTCGTTGTTAAACTGAAACCTTATCTGGGCACTTCCTTTTGTGTCATGTTGGTTTGTTAAACTGAAATCTTATCTGGCGACTTCCTTTCAGAGATCTTTTATTAAAACCCCCACATCAGCAGTGATGCAGGCGCCATTGTGACACCTTGATGTCTGTTTTGTCGCTCCAGGTTTCCTTTTTACTCCTTTTGTGTCCTGTTGACTTCCTGTTTCATGGCTCTAATGTTGACTTTACCATGTTCTTTTCCTGTTCATTTTCAACCGCCAGCAACTTTAGAAAAGCCAGTGGATGTGTGTTACTGATTAGATGAATTAAACAATATTTTTTTGTGTGCGTATTTTAGAATATAGCATGAAAATATTTTTGGAAATGGAAAGATGTGCATAAATTTTGAAAATGCGCACAACTGAGCAGAATACATTTTTTATCTGATACTAAAATTTGCACTTACACTACAATGAAAACACATTTGCTGAATAATTTACAGAATGTGCTTTAAAAAATTATTTTGTACACTACCTGACAAAAGTCTTGTTGATCCCATATGAAAGAGCAACAAAATATTAAGTTGACTTCTAGTTGATCTTATGGAAAAGTGGCAGAAGGTAGATGAATCATCTGTTAAACTGCATCCCAATCATCATCAATACTGCAGAGGACCTATTGGAACCCACATGGACCCAAGATTCTCATAGAAATCAGTCAAGTTTGGTGAAGGAACAGTCATGGTTTGGGGTTACATTCAGTATGGGGGCGTGCAAGAGATCTGCAGAGTGGATGGCAACATCAACAGCCTGAGGTATCAATACATTTGCTGCCCATTACATTACAACCACAGGAGAGGGCAAATTCTTTAGCAAGGGTGCGTTTCCCAAAACCACCGTTAGCCAACTAAGGTTGCAAGTTTCGTCGTTACAAACATAGTTTCTTGATTTGCCATTTCCCAAATCTGTCGCTCCAATGAATATTCGCAAACTGCGTCGCAAACTTGAGCACTCGAAATTACAGCTCTGGAGTATTAGTTGGAAACAGTTTCCTGGCTGTGTTCTATTCCCACTTATCTCCATGCCCTGTTCAAAATAAAAAAGCATTAAGGTCATCTCTCTTAGGTGTAATTTGCTTTCAAACTGAAAATCAGTTCAGTTTTAACAATCTTCATGTTTACAATTGTGCTCTCTTCGCACATTGATGTCATTTTGAACACAGCCTCATGGCCAAAGCTTTAGGTGACCTATTATTTAAAAGCGGAATTAATGTTACGTCTCCAAAGCTAAAGCTTGTGAAAACAAAAAAGCAAACGTGAATTATTTTAATTTCAAGTGGGATATTTATTAAATATCTGTACTGTATTTGACATGGGCCTGGTGGTTAGAACTTTCTGCAGTGGTTTACATGTGTCAAATTGTAAAAGTAGACTTTTCAGACAATAAATAAACAATATCATACTTAATAATAATAATAATCCTCATCATCATTATTTTTCCATTTCTAATAAATAATAAATATACATTTCATTTTATAATAAATAGCCTCATTATTTATTTATTTATTTATATGATTAATATATTAGAATACGCATTAGCTTTGGTAAGTGAAATGTTTTAGAATAGAATTTATAATGTTCAACTTCTCAATAATATTAGTAAAGCAAACATAGGCCCATATGTGCCATTTACATATATTTCATTTAATATGGAAAGCGAATTTACCAAATCTAATATTGGATTTTATTTTAAACGTGTGTGTGTAAAACAATATATTTTGCACAAAGAAATAATTATACATTACATTATAACTAACGTGGTTCAAGCGATGGATCTGTGACAGAGAAACTAGGGGTTTTGGAAAACACTCGTCACTACTTCATTGTTTTCCCAAATGATGCACTTTACTATGATAGTTTAGCCGCGAGTTACGTCATTGTTTGGTAAACGCACGCCAGGATAGCAGGATTGTCCAGCCCAGTCACCAGACATGTACATTATTAAGCATCTCTTGGGTGAGATGGAGGAGACATTGAAGATGAATCCAAAGAATCTTGATGAACTCTGGGAGTCCTGCAAGAACGCGTTATTTGCCATTGCAGATGACTTTATTAATAAGTGATTTAAGTCATTGCAGAGATGTATGGCTGCAGTCCTCCAAGCTCATGGGAGTCATACAATATTAATTCATTTTCCACTGCACCATGACTTTATATTCTATACTGTAATTTTTTTCTGTTAAGTGACAAGACTTTTGTCTAAGCTAAGTCAGACTTTACTGTCCTAATTTAATCATTAAAAATCAAGACATGATCATACTTTATTCTCTCTCTTAAGTAGAGGCCTCTACTTAAATTTAAGCCACTTCTGATACCAAATGATCAACTAGAAGTCAAGTTATTACTTGTTGTTCCTAAAACTTTACTAGGCAATATGACTTTTGTCAGGTAGTGTAGCTTAATTGACAACCGAGTGGATTGACAACATTGTAAAATATCCCAAATGTTGTTTTGGTCATTCTAAAAATCCCAAAGTTCGTCATAAAAAAAATAGTTTAGTATTGTTACCTCTCAAAATGAACGCTCACCAAATAAGTGGTCTCATGCTTCCTAAAGCCACCTTATGTTTATTGCACTTTATCTTCATCTGTTGAGGTCATTTATATAAAAAAATGTGTCTCCTACCACAGAAAATTCCATTTTTCATGGATATTTGGCTTTTGATCAGGAGGTGATGACTTTATAATCTGACTCATTGGAAGGAAACTGCTTTATTTGCAAAGGTTTTATGCAATATTCTAATTTTGTGCTTAAATTTAATTTACATCTTTGAGTGGGAACATAAGTCACCTAAGTTCTTGGATTTTACTTGTTTATTTATTTTTTGTTTGTTTAGATGTTTCTGTTCCATGCTGTTCATGTTTCCAGCAGTGTCAGAGATTGTTTCAGCGGTCTCCGTCCACTTGTTTGGTGCACAGCAGGTATTTTGATGTCAGACCTCTGACCAGTCTCAGAAATTCCAATCTAGTAGAGGTGTAAATGTATTTGTTCTGAACCATTCTGACAGTACATGCGCCATGGTTCACCATATTGCAATCATGTAAAACATAACGACAACATTTACACAGAAAAACAATGGAACTGTGTTCTATATTTCTATCTCATGCACACATAAGCCAAGCTGATCTCTTCTCTGTACAGCTGATAAGACCAAACACTTCTGCCTGTTGAAAACAAACAAGAATGGAAGCACTGGAGATTTGCTGCTTATTCCTGTTTTAACAAACAGTATTAAACTGACCCTAAAACCAAGGTGCGAACAGAACCATTAAGGCCCTACAATTAAAAAATACATTTTAGCAGCTCTAACTCATGTGGTTCTGGAACTGTAAGCTGGCTCCAATATAAGCTGCAGGTCCCAAAACTACAGCAATTCTATCTGGCAAGATTCATGGAAACTCAATTAGGTCGCCTTATTACACCAAATAAAGCTTTAAAAGCATAAATCTAATTTGCATCTGATTTTTAAACTAAATATAACTGATCTTTTAGGTAGTTCCTAGTTTTTGGTTAGATCAGGGGTGGGCAAACTCAGTCCTGGAGGGCCGGTGTCCTGCACAGTTTAGCTCCAACTCTAATCAAATACACCTGCTTATAGATTTCTAGTGATCTTGAAGACACTGATTGACATGTTCAAGTGTTTTTGATTAGAGTTGGAGCTAAACTATGCAGGACACTGGCCCTCCAGAACCGAGTTTGCCCACCCCTGGGTTAGATCCTACCCTGAAGTAGAACCTAGTTGAATAAACTTTAGATGCTGTTATAACTACAATCAATCCCAATTCCTTAGTTGCAAAACCAATAACAACAGGCGTTTGCACTTAAGGGATGTTTTCATAGTTCCTTTAAACATGAAAGGAACCAGGTGTTTGCACCAGTAATTATAAAAGGGTATTTTGCCCGTACAAAATGCTTTCATAGTTCCTATAATTATTGACGGAAGTAACTACTTTTTGGCGTGTTCTCACTACAGAAACTGAGAACATTCTTAGATATAGTTAACTAAATTAGCTTCTAGTTCAGAAAAGCTGTGCTATATTCGCAAATGTGTTATGCAAAATTCTATTTTAGTGCATAAACCTAATTAGCATTAATTAAATTACGTATTAAATGTAACTGCCCTCTGTTAGATAGTTCCTAGTTTTAGGTTGGATCTTACCCTGAAGTAGAACCTAGTTCAATAAAGTTTAGATGCTGTTATCACTAAAGTCATTCCCAATTCCTGAGTTGCAAGGCCAAAAATTATAACAACGGGCTTTTGCACTTAAGAGACGTTTTCATAGTTCCTATAACTATTGTAAACATGCCGGGAACCAGGTATTTGCAACAGTAATTATATGAACAGGGTCTTTTGCACTTACAGAATGTTTTCATAGTTCCTATTTGATGGAGGTACCCACTTTTTGGAGTGTTCTTACTACAGAAACTGGGAACATTTTTAGATATAGGAACACCTTGTTGTGGTAACTAAATAAGCTTCTAGTTAAGAAAAACGTCTTTTTTTGCAAATGTTTTATGCAACAATCTAATTTTGTGCGTAAACCTAATTAGCATCTTATTTTTAAAGTAAATGTAACTGCGATCTTTTAGGTAGTTCTTAGTTTTAGGTTAGATCTTACCCTGAAGTAGAACCTTGTTCAGTAAACTTCAAATGCTGTTACCACTAAAATCATCCCCAATTCCTGAGTTCTCAGGTCAATAATTATAAGAATAACAGCGGCTTTTTCACATAATGCAGGTTTTTATAGTTCTTATAACTATTGTAAACATGCCAGGGTATTTGCACCAGTGATTATAAGAACAGGAACTTTTGCACTTACAGAATGTTTTCATAGTTCTTTAAACCATTGACAGAGGTACTCACATTTTTGTGTGCCCTCACTACAGAAACTGGGAATGTTCTCAGATATAGGGACACCTTTTGTGGTAACTAAATTAGCATATAGTTCAGAAAAACTGCTTTATTCGCAAATGTTTTATGCAACATTCTAATTTTGTGCATACATCTAATTACCTCTTTGGGTTGAAACAGCTATTGTCACATGAATTCTTGGCATTTCCACCAGCGCCAGATTGTTTTAGGGATCTCCGTCCACTT